AGGCCTCTCCCACCCCCCCTTCCCAAGACACTGCCCTGCCCCTCCTCAGACCCAAACTTTGTCCCCGACGTCAAGGTCCTGCGAGCAGCAGCCGCAGCCGACGCTGTGGTAGCGAGTGGCCGGCAGGTTCTTGTAGATGGCCTTGCTGTAGGGCACCAGGCAGTAGCTCAGCTGGAGGCGGCGGGCCAGGCGGCAGTAGGCAGCCAGGGCCAAGACCAAGAGGGGCACCAGGAGGGCGAAGCCCACCACCAGGAGGGCGACGGAGGCGGCGTCGTGCAAGTGGGCTGTGCAGTAGTGCTCCTGGATGTTCAGGAACTGCAGAGAACGGGGGAGAGGGGGCTGTTAGGCATCTCCTTTATGCGAACCACAGGCACGTACCAAGGAAGCATGCTCTCCAGAGTGCAAATGCACAAACTTTAGGGGTGCATCTCCTTCCACACCCAGGGAAGGGGTGCCCATTTCTGCCCAACCCCCGGACAGGAGCAGACCGTCCGCCAAGTCCTACCCTCAACCCCTCCCTTGCTGCCCCCCAGCAGGCATCCAGATGGCCTGCCTTCAGCCCATGGAAGGCCAGCCCAGGTGGGAAGGATAGGAGCCGCAGTCCCACACACCTAGAAGGGGGAGGAGGGGGAGGCAGGCAGGAAGAGGGGACGTTCCCCTTAAAGGAAAACACGGCGGGATGGGAGTAGCCGAGGGCATGTCTGGAATGCGTGCTTTGGCCCCAGGAGGTTATCAGCCCCCAGCCTGGGCATCTGGCTTGTCTCACCGGGGACAGGCGAGAAAGGTTGGAGGCCAGCCGCCATACTTCCCGGCCAGCGGTCCTCGGGGCTTCCTGTTGACCAGAAAGCAGCCGGCCGTGCATCAGCAGCCCGGGAAAGGCGCTCTGGGCGGGGGCCCAAATCCTTCTGGGGAGGGCTGCCTTGCGCAGGGTGGGTGAGTGGCATCATCCCACTGGCCAGGGCTGCAAGTTGAGCTTTCTTCAGTATCTTCTTAGGCATTTGGGGAAAGCCAAGATACGCCCCAAGATACTCGATGCAACAGCGAGGCCGCGTATAAGATTCCACGATATGCGGATGGTGGATGGTGTCCTGGTTTAGCTGCGCCAGCCCTGCCCTTCATTCTCGGTCCTGGTTTGTTACTATGTGAGTTTGGCATCTTCTTGGGGAAAAAATGAGGCTTGGTGCCTTTGGATGTCAGGATTATTTTTGAGATCTATGAGAGCTGGGAATAGAAGTTGAGTTTGGATCCCTTCTCTAGCGTGGTGTAAAATGCTTGAGAGATGTTCCCCGCTGGACAGGCTGAATTTACCTGCAGCTCTGACACAAATGAAGGAAGATCCCTCCCTCCCTATGAATTGCTGTCTGTATGAAAAAGGCAGGCTGCACATCGGACCTTTGGGCAAACACAGGCGTGGGCTGGGACTCTACCGAAGAAGGTAAACCTCTGAATGGCAGAGAAAGGCGTAGGTGAGGAGATCTGCTTTCTAAACTCTCTCTTTCTGTTCTTTTTAAAGCACTCCCGCAGTGGGAAAGCTGGATTCCTGCTCAAAAGACTGAATTTAAGCAGGCCAGTTGCAGGGATATGTGTGAAAGTAATTCATTTTTCTGCAGTGGTTTGCAGGATCATGGAAGAAAGACCAGTCTTAAAAAAAAAAAGTCCAATATTTCAATCCAACGTCAGGGGTATGGTTCGATAAGGTTCAAATCCTGGGCATTTTAATGTTGAGATGGGCTTTTAAGCTGATGGTGTTATAATCCTATCTGATGTATGTTTATGGTTTTATCTGTGTTCTGGTCTATGGCATAAATAAATACAAAAATTAAGGAAAAAAACTTAGGGAGGTTTACAGAGCACTGTTAAAAGCCATTTTGTCCTCAGTATCTGAAATGATCCGGGCACTGATTACTGCAACTTTGTTCTCCCGAATACGTGCTAACGTTTTGCCTTCAACTGAATCAGCCATGCAAAACAGTGCGTTTTGAGATGTCCCGAGAAACCCTTGTTGTGGTCAGTGACCTGGGTGTCTTATTCTCACATGCAGGATCCTGCTCCCTTCCCTTCCCCCGCATACAGACGTGCAAACCACCATCATGTCCATTCTGACAACCGCTGGGAAAATCAGAGTGGCAAGGACTGGAAGATGCCAGTAGATGGATGCCCAATTAAAAAAAATGAAATAAGATACTGCAACTCCAGAGAAGTTGCCTGCCCAAAGAGGGGGAGGGATGACCGGCCATGCACCCGCACACACGTTGCATTCCACAAAGAGGGTGATGTGCGACAGGCCCCATATCTCGGCTAGGGCAGGCAGGAGACTTAATCCCAAAGCATTTGGCAGGAGCGGCCTCTCCCCCACTCCCCCGGCCCTGAACCGTCCCTGGGGGGAGACCACCCCGCAGTTGCCACGCCAACCCTGGTGAGGGTGCATTTGGGGGAAGGAGCAAGACTCCCATGGCTGGGGGTGGGCGCAGG